TGTTCCCCTTTGCTAATAATTCTCATCGCCGAGAGAGAGAGAGAGAGAGAGAGAGAGAGAGAGAGAACTCACTCGATACTCAAATAAGAAATGAGCTCATGACTCATATCGAGGATCTAAAAAGCGGAGATAGCAATCTCGAGTTTCGGCTTTTAATTACGCGTTTCAGTTGGGTGAGTTTCTTCGTAATGACAGATGTCACGCAAAATTACTTCCATTAAAATCACGCTCGTATCTGTATTTGACACAGTTCTTTATTTTACTTATTTTTTACTCTTATTGAACTATTACCGTTAGCCTTATAATGTACTGTATTTTACTTTCGTGCATGGAAAGAACGATTCTGCCAACATATTTAAAAATTGAACTAAATACACACAGATTTAAAAATAATTTTGTTAAATTCTATCAAAATAATTATGTAAAAATTTCAAGCACGGTGAGCAATGCAACAAAAACATTAACATTGTAGTAACTAAGTTTGAGAGTCATATATATAATTATTTTATTTTAGTCTTACATTATTATTTTGATGATTCGATAAAATTTCAAATCTGTTTTTAACTAATTTCTAAATATTTCAGCAAAATCATCCTTTTACGTATCAAATAATTTTATATATTAAGTGTTGGAATTAATTCGTAGCGTTTTTTAATGAAAGAATGTTATTTATTTCACATGAGCATTAAAAAATACATTAATGAAAGTACTTCCCATCACTTCCCATCTCTTGTAAAACGCTACGAATTAATTCCAACACCTAATATATATATATTCAATATATATATTCAATATGTATATGCAAGTACAGTTGTAAAGAACAGAGTACCGTTCTTTAGCATGTGCCATATGTGGAACGCTATGCGCATTGGTATCAAAACTCTTAACTTTCTATATTTACACTCTCATATACTTTGATAATCTACACTTGTGCTTTTAAATTATTTTAAAGCCGGCAGCACAATTCAGCAGGTTTCACAAAACTTTATTTAATCATCTTTCTCTATTATTTAAATATCAAACAGTAAGTACAAATATTTAATGCGAAATTAATTAAAGAATTTAAAACAAAATGAATAACGTTATCAATTTTTTAAGAGAGTCTCGGTTAAAAAATGTTTCGGTAAAAAATCGAAAGTTATACGTTATTTAAAAAAGTCTTCGTAAGCTTATGAGTCTTCGACTTTAATTTCATTCTCGTGTTAACCGATGACAATACGATAATAATGACTTCACAATAACAACGTTGATCTCTTTCCTTCTGTTTTGCTTCGCACAATGAACTCTTATTGACGTGTCAACCTTAACTCGTTACCCACATAAAATGTCGAAATCCTATGATAGCACGAAGTGTACAATCATGTACGCTTTCCATGCATCTCTCTTTGTGTGCAAGATCATTGCAATTATCTTAAAAGCGCAAAGTTTATCTCACAAGGAAACGTGACGATTTTGCGAGGAAAAGGTCGATTTCCATTGACTGTAGAATTTGATGATAAAAAAAATATTTCTTATCAATAGATAAAATATAAAACATTTTAAAACATACAAAAAATTGTGACAAAATTCAATTTTAATAAATATTTGTTTAAATAATTATAAATAAATATTTATTTACTGTAAGTAAATGTTTATTAGTACTATTCACAAAGAAATATGTATTAAGATTTGGTAATTTTTTTCAATGCATATATTAACATGTTAAAATTGAAGAGAACCTTCTCTAAATCTATCGTTAGAAAATCACGGAGAAGCACGTATAAGTGAAAGGAGAATTCAAAGGTAATGTGGACCATTAGGAGAGAAAAGAATTTACTCAAAAAAGAATTTACTTCGCGTAAATAATGTGTTTGATATTAGGAGTATATGTGTGTGTGTAACAAAATATATTAATAAAGATATTTAAAAAATGCAAACGCATATCCGCGCGATCGTTTATGTAATTGTACTTTACTTCAACATACCGCAGTTAAGAAATGTTAAAATGTCAGGAAACTTTCTCGGTACGAAATGAAGCATATTTCGAAACATCTATACATCGAAATCATTTATGAACCTCAAATCCTCCCGGTGAGAGGTAATGTAAAGTACTTTTTTTCATAGTGATGTGAGAAACATAAATAACAGATGTAAATATTCCAACATTAGTTTCACGTGTTTCAAATAAAATAATATTTCATCAATTCAAGAAATTAAATTACTCGAGCTATTAGCTCGTAAAAAAAATAAAATCAATTAATGATCGAGATCAGTTAATTATCAATTAATTTGAAACTCATACGTGATGAAAATAATTTCTCGTAGTTATTTAATTACATGTAAAAAAATTTCATTAACTCTACGATATAATTTATTATTAATATTTTACTGATAATTAAAATAGATTGGCATTTTCGAAAATGGCTTTTCCATTTATTTTTCATCCCTTAAATATAGAATTTTGTTTTTATTATAGAATTATAAATGTAGAAGCGTATTTTACTAGCAAAATCTTCTTAATATTTTCTTAAATATTATTTCTCTTTATTAAAATTATTTTTATCAAATAGTAAAGTTTGATCTTAAATTAATCTGCATTACTAATATTATCCATATTTATTTAGTGCCTTCTAATTCTTGTTATAATACATCTGAAAGTATTCCATCTTCACTTGTAAAAGATTGATAAGCATCATTCTATTCGAGTGATTCTCGTTCTTCTCACCATTCAAGATTATGAGGAAACTTGCGGAACAGGACGAAAGCAATCGAAATAGGGACACGTAACTATAAACATGATGAGCAGTTTTGAAGATACTTGCAAAACGCGGTCATATCGTGATGATGAAGAAAAAGATCATTCAACGATGCGATATAATTCAATCCGATTTTGTTTCGATTAACTAGTTTCCATAAATTCGACGAATTGCTTGCCACTCATAAATCGAACGTATATCTAGATATTTTTATAAAAAAAGATAACAAAATTTGACAAAAATCTGTCGTTAAGATTTACTCTTTACTAAAATTTAAGTCAGAAATTTTCAAACGCCATGAGAAAAATTTTGTATTAAATAATTTATATTGTGTATATGTAACAAATCCATCGAATCTTATATGTAAGCTTACATGTTTTTTTGCGAGATTGTAAGCATCGTGAAAATTGTTTTCGGATACAAAATCGAGCGGATCCGTTAGCTACAACTCTCAAGATATGGCACTTTACACCTTTAAACTTTCACGAACGACCCTTTATTTATCCTGATAAATCGTGCGACAGAAACATCGTATGAGATGTAGGATAACGAGGATATATCTATCTCATATCTTAATAAATTATTATTTATTTATTTATGTCTCTAACACGGATATTAAATTATAAATTAACAGTGGTGAAATGGAGAAATTAAGAAAGTGTCGCAAGCAATTAAGAAGAAAATGCTAAGCAAAGAGAGAGAATAGGCATATCGCCAAATAATTTACATCTTAAAACTATATTTAAAAATTTTCGTTAATTATATTGAATAATAACTGGCTAATGACAAACTTGTCTAATTCACATTCTTTATAGGAATATCGTTTCTAATTACACACTTTCTTCATTAACTTCATCATATGTTGGTATAAAAGTAATAATATTGTGTTCACCTTTCTAGCTATTATTAACGTAATTATATGACACATCAGAGACGTTTTCACTATCTAAAAATTAACAAGGAATGGTATGTAACTTTCGATCTTGAGAATATAGCACTGCACTTTTCGAATCTTTCAGCTTGAAACTTAAATATATAAGTAATAATGGATATTAAAAACTTGCAACATTTTACTTGAAACAAATTGCTTGAAATTTTGCTGAACATTGACATGCAATTCTTTAGAAAATTTGTTATTAAGACTACCATCAAGTGTAGAAGTCTGCATTAAATTCACTTAGAATTATATATAATTAGATAATTATGCGTTTAATTTTTTTATAGTGCACTAAGAATTAAATCGATTTTAATTCCTTTCAAAATACTTTCAAAATTAGAATAAAATACCTAATATTATCTCTATAAATTACAAATTGAATAATATACGTTAGAGTTAAAATAACTTTCAATCGCATTAAGTAACAAAAGCTCGTAAATTGTTGGCGTAACACCTATTTTTCTCTCGACGTATTCTCGCGTCCAAAACGGAGAATGTTCTAACAAAGACAGGAATTTCCCGAGCTCATGTTAATGATTATGTCATATCTTCGGCGAGTTAGCACTGTTAATTCGAATCAAAAACTCAGATTTTCCCATCTTTGATATCATAGATTGTAAGGTCTTAATTCCGCGAATGTGTACACATGCATTGATAAAATCAGGATTTAAAACCGGTATAATAGTGGAGAGTTCAATGCTCGATGTCGCACAGAAAGGTGCACTTTACGTCTTACATTTCCATCAATTTAAAGATTCGGATACATATAATGCTGATCATTAATTTATGAATATTTATAGAAAATTTTTTTAATTTTACACAGAAAGATAATATAAAAATTCAATGCAAAAATTTCTTTCTGTTACAAATAAAATGTTGAAAACATAAAAGAAGTAAACAGAATTAAAGAATGATTTTATTGAAGTATCTAAAAATTTAGTTAGATACAAATTTAAAAATAATTTTGTTGGACCATCAGAGTAATTATGTAGGACACTCAAACTAATTGCTAGATTGTTAAAACTTTTTATAATATTGTCGCCAACGATTTAGTGTTTTATATAATTATTTTGATAGTCCAACAAATTTATTATATTCATATTTGTATCTTGCTGAAGTATTTAAATTTTTGATACTTCAGCAAAACTACTTTTTCATGTACTTTATAAATTATGAACTTCAATTCCATTCTCGCATTGAAATTATCAAATAAAAATTCTTTATTTTTAATAGACAAAAAATATCCAATTGTTCCTTTGCTGAAGTTAGTATGCTGAAGTCGAAATGTGAACTCGTATAGTCCTTGAATAAATAAATGTCGTACTTACGAAGAAGCAACGGTCCTCGAAGATGCGATGAAGTTTTAAAGCTGACAGTCTTCCTCTTCCTGCTTTATTGCCTCTTCCGCTGGCTCAGGACTTACCTAGGAACGAGATGCGAGAAGAGTCCTCGAGTGCCAGACGACGATGACGACAAGAGAAAGAATCCCTGGCAGTGATGCTGGCCGACGAATTGCAAATACGAGGAAGGAATGACTGACGGTTTCGCGATGAGCCGGTATATAGTCGGCCCACATTCCCTAGTGGTACGAGTAACCTAAATTTCTCCCACCAGAACGAGACATCATCCTCATCAGGTAGACGTTGAGTCCTCCGCAGGTGGGATATACAGCCCCACCTGTGCATGCCCTGTCGTCGACATGCACGGTGTACACGGTTAGACTCGTACACACCGATTCGTAAGGTGATGGTATTATCGTCCCCTTCGTCATGCCTCCGCTTCAAGTTGAGACCGATCGACCAACTGATATTTGTCATTTCGAAAACTTCTTTTCTTCGTCTCGGCGATACGATCCTCGAGAGCGCAATCCCGTAGCTAGAAAAGAAAAATGTTGAATGACGATCGCTTTGGTTTGCGTTGTAAATGTCAGTTATGCAATTACAATACGATTTTATCGATACCGTCGTTGTTGGCAATCGGCCAAATATTTATTAGACAATAATTGACGTTCTTCTTCTTCTTCTATTTGCTTCCCGGTTTTTCGATTCACAGCTACAGATCGCAATAGTATTATACAATTTTTTCATCAAACCAAAAGGCCCAGTGGAATTGCTTCTTTGGAGAGAAGGGAAGCACCGCTTCTTATTATAAGAATAATATATCTTTAACTTCCGTTAGTAATTGTCGTTAAAAAATGTGCTGAAGGAATTGGCATGATATATGTTTAAACAAAATCAGTAGTCTTGTCTATTAGAATGTCTTAGAATAAGTTTGGACATCCGGCAAATTTTGACCGAGTATCTGTTATGCAATCATTTGAGATTGAGACCGGAAAGTTGAAGGGAACGTGACATGAAGCGCAAAGAAGCGCAGCGGATTTCCGGATAATTGGGAAAGAACAAGTTTCCAGAGCAATTTAATTGAATGAAAGACTTTCTAAGAACATCCCGAAGGAACTTTGATTCTCCCCTCCCTCTCTCTCTCTCCCTCTCCCCTTCCCCTCTTTTTTTCCCTCTCTCTCCCTCTCTCCTTAACAGCTTTATATAGGGACAAATTCTATAACTACTTGTTTAATTCTATCGCTAATTCTATCGTCATGTATTTTATAAATTTTTAGCTTTTCTTAACTCATATCTCACTATATTAAGGGGATCCTAAAGCGAAGCCCGAATTCTAATGAAGTTATCAGAGGTGACTGTTTTTCCAGCATATCCATATGTTTTTATATACTATCACATCAATATCTCATGCAACCTATGATACAATGTACGATCGCAATTTTCATATAACAAATTTATCATGATAAAGTGTTTAAGTCTAATTTTAAGAACTCAACGTTATTTATTCGTGCAAACTACTATAGATTACTATTTCGTAAGTATCCACAAGTTGCAAACTTTCGTAACAAGCAAATATTGTCACGAATTGATAGCTTGAGACGCCAAGTTATATTAAAAAAAAAAATAGTAAAAAATATATCAATTTCAAAATTTTCGGTCTTTCTCGGCATAAACTTCACCTCACAAACATATATTAAGCGTATACTTTAATCTGAAAAAGGATATCGAATCTGTGAAAGAGAAAAAAGTATTTGATATACAAAAATTATATGATTTAGTTGGTAATACAGACGGCTTTAGAATCCTCTTAACACGAAGTCTCGACACTTTACGTTTCTGTAGAAGATATATTGGGCTTACACACACATGAGCACGTACTTATTAACTCTTACATGGTACACATCTTATATGTTTATAGCTTGAATTAATTTAAAATTTTTGGCTTTTCAAATATACCTAATCCATTTTATGAATCTTTTTATATTGTTGTATCATTGTTGGGCACTTGAGGAGAATATATAGAATGTATAATATAAACAGACCTCTCTGATATAAATATCGATTTTCTCTGATAAATCTTCAACTTCTACTTTACGCATTCGGCAGTCGCCTTTCGATTTATCACAAGGATTTCTACATGGTTGTCTGAAGGAATGACTGTTATCTCGCTGTCGAGTAATTCGAAAGGCCGTGCCTCGTGACACCAAAACTACTTACACAACTGGGACTATAAAGCAGTATAGTGACTACGCAAGTATTCAACAGTCAATGATAATTCCCTGAGAATCACTTCAATCGCATGTCCTATCGATCGATGCTCAAGCGACTACAACATCCTCATGTTTCTTCAAGACCTCTTCGCGATGACGGGGTGGCGTCAGCTTTTAAATCATACTTATCGTATCCCTGACAAAATAAAAAGGAGTCGAATGTAAGGGGAAAGTGACAGAAACGTAAACAAAGTTATAAAACTTCTAGTAGATAAAAATTGAGACAATAAAACTCTTCGACATTTCCTTAGGTAGCAAGCTGTCGTCATTTTGACAGTGAATCATTTTAAATTATTGACAGCAGTGAATTATTTTAAATTATTGATTATGTGATCTATTTAAGTAATAATGACGTCATCTTTTTGACCAATTAATGACGTCATTTATTTATGACGTCTTTACAATATCATACTTAATGACGTCGAATAAATGGCTCGACGTTACATTCTCAATGATCAATTAATAATGTTATACATTTATTCCGTTAGTAACACGAAAATAATGATGTATTTTTGATGACGCAGTTTGTGACATTGTGTGAGTGATAAGAAATATAAGAATTCACGTCATTTCTACGACGTCAAAGAGTTTATAGTTCAAGAGCTAGCATCACTTTTTTCTGTCAAATCTGATTAAAGTTAATTCATTTGTTTTCTACTATATTTGTGCTGTATCCACAAAATGACCTCCCAGCGCACCAATGGAACAATGCTTGACAGTAGCGTCTCAATTATGTAAAAAAAAATAATGTGAATGTTATAGATGATTAAAATTGAAACTTTTTGTGCTAATTATGGATACTATAAAAAGAAAAATTATCTCTTGTCATCTTACTTGTAGAATGGCATACTCCTGCCATTTATATAAACATATTGAGTCGATTGACAGAGATGATTACGGCTAAACATTTTTTTTCTAGTAGTTTATATCGTGAACTTGAAAAAAAACTTTTGCTGCCAATCATCTGACGGAACAGAGCCCCGGCAGCAGCAAGCAAAGATGCTGCGCGAAGAATTGCATGAAAGGGATTAGTGCAATTGTATGCTGATATCTTAAGCTGCAAAAAAATTTCTTTTCAGTTTAAATAATAAATAAATTTTGTATGTAAAATATGACTTTTTTTGAATTAATTAAACATTTTAAGGCTTCTGAGTACTCACTCCAGCTATACTGAATCGTGATGTTATAAGCGAGAAAAATAAATGACACGTTGATTTTTCTTGCGTGCTATTTGTAAATAAAGAGAATTTGGATAAAATGAAATGATGAAATCGCTTTAAAACATTTGTAAAAATGGACGAAGACTCTCTCCAGTAAATACATGTCTTACAGACATTCCGAAAGATGACTGTAAGACTTTTTTGAAAAGACGACTTTAAACTGACTTTCAGTCAAGTTTTAAAAACAATCTTTTTAAAGGTGTCTTTCAGACAACTTAAAAGAGACGTCTGTAAGTTTTTTCAAAAAACGTCTTTAGAACGACTTTTAATCAAGTTTTAAACCTTTTTTAAGATGTTCAGACATCCATTTAAATCATCTTTCAGATCATCGTTTCAAAACATATTTGAGAACAAAAGATAAGACATTTTTATAAAATAATTCGTAAAGTCGAACTGGCAATACGACGCATTTATAACATATCGCATGTAAAATACGTGGTGCTTTCAGTATTGTTGGTGTCGTGCTTTAGTTGCTTATTGGATTCTTTCAATTACTTTCTGGCAATTCCGGCAGAACGCCGAACCATCTAAATCGTATATGTGTACATTGCAATATCTTATAAATGTTGAATGACAACAATGGCCATGTTCTGGTTATGTCCAAAAATAGTCCGAAGAATAGCATTATAGGATCTCAAAGACGTCTTATAGACATTACAGGGACTGAAAGGCAGCCATCAAAATGTCCAAGATATCTTATATAACGTCTGACAGACGTGCATTAAGGCTAAAACACAGATATAAGATGCCTTAAAAACATCTTTTAGTAAAAAATATCGGATGTCCGAGGGAATTTTAAGTTGTCTTAAAGGCGTTCTTTAAGACTTATTGTTTACTGGGTCCTTATTTCCCTTGACAGTTAGTAAGTAATCATAAAAGACACGTAAAGTGTCTTTACAGATTTTTACTCAATGCGCTTAAGCGAGAAAAGTGTCATAAGTGACACGTTAATTTTTCTTGCGTACTATTTGTAAATAAAGAGAATTTAGATGAAATAAAATGATAAAATCGTTTTAAAACATTTATAAAAATGTATTACTTGCCAAGCGAATGTTTGGTTCTTGCTCATGGATTCAATCAATCATTAATGGCAAGCAGATCTCGATTGCGATTCTCGATGCGAGTCTCGATGTGAGTATGTACTGAAGTTACATTTTTATGTTCTATGGCCACATGCGTTTTTTGGTAGTTCTCGTTACAGTAAAATGCAGAAAATTTTAAATCAACTTTTTGAAATAAGTAAAACGAAATTATCGTATTTTTATGTACGATTCCATCCTTTAAATCGTACATCCTACAAAGACTTAAATTATCGTATTCGTACGATAAAAATCGTATGGTTGGCAACGCTGTGTCACGCAACTAGAAATCGTTGATGGCATTGTGTAGATATTGTAGAAATTTACGAGCCTCACAGTCGGTACTGTAGAAATTTACAAACGTCGTAGTCGATAATAAAGTCTGCGGTATATAATGCAAATTTTCCTACCGGATTGCTTGCATTTTAATAAATTATTAGAAATTCTTCGTTCTGTATAGAGTGCAATTTTAGTAATTTACTAAAACAATCCAACAGAAAAAATACATCGTGCGCCACTGACTTAATATTTTCCAAATCGCATCCACGTACAATAAATTAGCCATCAACAATATTAATTTTTTGCATTTTCTTTACACTAATAACAATAAATTAAAAAAAAAAAAGAATTCAAGTTAATGTCTCGCAAAACACATTTCATAAAATCTGGCACAAAATTACTGCTTCGTTCTTTATCATTAATAATTAATTCAATGTTGTAATTCAGATAACGAGAAAAATTTAATTGTTCATCATTTTGTCGGCGAGCCGGTCACTGCCGGGTGGCTTTCTCGTACACAGCCGGGAAAGCGGCATGTCGCATTCGTCAGAAAATCGATGGCGCGCGGTCTGCCCGCCATTGTGCGCGGCGCCCGGCGTGTTCGATGGTATTCCTACGCGTCGACCGCGTCGCAGCGCTCATCCGCGGCAACCATCTAGATCTCATACCGCATACTTGACGATTTCATCGCGCGTGACAGATAAGTCATTAGGAATTCTTTATCTTTCGAGCGCGATTATTAGAAAATACAACGTCTCGTGCGTTTTTCGCTGGAAATTCGAGTTATCGTATCGGACTCGCCAAAGTGGAATTTTCCAGACGTTGTGGCGCGGCCGTGATTAACTTCCGGTGGCGCCAGCAGCGACCGCTGTATCGTCAAAGAGAACCGAGAAGAACGGAGAGAAAGAGGTGCGGTGTTGCGTGACTGGGTGCGAGCGATCGTGGCGCGTGTGTGTTTGTTGTGTTGTTAAGCATAAACGAGTTTTACAAGATTCTCCGCGTCCTCCGCCTTTTTGAGTAATACGCGAACATAAGCGGACAAAACTAGGAAAAACGAACCGGGTGCGGAGTAATCGAGAGAAGCGAGGAAGAAAGAGTGAGAGAGAAAGAAAGAGAGAGTGAGTGAGTGAGTGAGAAAGAGAGCGAGGGTGACCAGCGGGGAAAACAGCAGTATCGCCGTTCGATTGATAAAGGGATCAGCTTTGTGACGAACAGAAGCCATACGATGTCGTCCTACATCCAGGTCGCCGAGGACGAGGGTGAGGAGCCGATCGAGCTGCCAACCGAGGACGATACCACGCTCCTGCTTACCACCCTATCCGCCCAGTTTCCCGGCACTTGCGGCCTCAAATACCGCAATCCGGAGTCCCGTACGATGCGCGGCGTCCGACTGGTCGATGGCCGTCTACATCCGCCTGAGAATGGCTGGGGCAAGGCGATCTACTTCTGCGTATTCCCTAAAGGTACAAAAATTACGCGTACATACACGCGCGTACCTCCCTCCCCTCCCTTTCCCCATCCCCGCGGTATTTATAACGCGGCGGCGCTGTGCTCGTGGCGTCGATGTCGAGGCGACTCGAAGCCAACCGTCGTAGAACTCGTAGGATCAGTGGATCACGGCGATGATGCTTTTGCAGCCACGGATGGAAGAGAATCAGAATATTGTACACGAATCTCTTGAGACTCTTCCTGGATCGTATCCGCCGTGGCGACCTGCGACTTTAACTCCTGGAGCAGTTGGTCGATAGGAACAAATTTTGATCATATTCCTTTATTTAAATGATTATAACACTTATGTCCGTTTCTGTAAATGTAAATAACTTTAATCTCGGTCCAACTAATTCTTCGTCTTTTATTAATAATTTTAAGAATTGGAAAAAGATGAAGAGTAAGTTGAAGCAAGATTAAAATTAATCTATATAGATAAAAGAAACGAATATTCTAAATTTTAATAAGTATTTATTTGAATAGTGTCAACTAAACGTTTACTTACAATAAATAAATTAATCAAATATAGTTTTTGTATCAAATAAATGTCTTTATATTAATAATAATATTTGACACTTTTCAAACAAATGATTTATTAAAATGTATTTTTTTTCCAGTAAAATAGGAATTGGCATCAAAGCAAATCTTGCTTATACATAGAAAAATGTATACTGTACACAAATAATAATTACTTGTTTTAAATATTTTAAAAGTTTGCAAATCTATCATAAAGTCGTCACAAGCATCAAATTTAAATAAAATATATTCTAAGTCCTAATAAGTTTCAACTTTAAGATTATTATAATAAATTAAAGTAAATTCGATGTACTTATACTTGTTATTATATAAAGTCACTTCTTTGATAAACTATATTTTTTTTAAATAATTCTTATTTCGATTTTTAAAATTTATAATAATGTTTTAAGAATATATATGTATATATATTTTATATATATGTATGTATATATCAAGAAAATATTCTTTGTTTAATAATATTATTATAATATATCTTTGTTTAACAAAAATAAATTGAGTAATTATAAATTAAATTTTTTTAGCAAAATATTTTTTTGAATAATATATGCAATAGAATATTTTTCTGTGTATAATATGTGCAAATTTCTTTCATTTAACTTATAGTTTTGAGACTTTTACAGATACTTTCTATAAACTATGCGTATTATCTCCGTGTCTATATAGATCCATTGTTAAGCTGCGTATATATCTAGCAAACGAACACTGAGCGCGAATATTCGGACATTCATGTTTGTATCTGTGAGCAGTTTATTCTTTTTCTTGATTGCACCGAATACTAGCATTCAATCAGATTCGATATTTGTTGCACATAGCAATTAAAAAACTTTTGCGACTTTTATATAACACATAACAACACAAAGGGCTGAATCCATAGACGTTGTTCAAGATTCGAGATTGTCTTAAGCTAATGCTTGAGATGTCATGAACCAATCAGAGAACTGTATTAATATCTTAAGACATTACTTGAGATTAAGAACGGACTATGGATTCTGGCCAAACTTTTGCGTTCGTTATTCGATATTCATTCGCTAGGTAAAGCTGTATCCATAGCTTTAGATTGCCAACGTTTCGTGAACATTGCAGTTTACTTAACCAGGGTGAGTAACAGCAGGGTGATACAGAATCAGCCTGATATTTTATGTGTCATAATTAGTGTTATAATAAACTTTTTTTGTCTTGATGATTGGCTGTATTCAGATCAGAAAGATGAGAATCTGCAACTAATTAATAGGCTTGAAAGGCTTTGTCATGCGTCACATGGATATTAATTTCGGGCTATTCCTCTCCCTGATGAAGTGAACTGTGTGTGTTCATAAAACGTTGACATTCTGCCGATGGTTGTGCTCAGCAGAAATTAATTTATTAGTAAGCTCTCAGTCCTTAATATTAATTCTTGTCTTTAGTTCTTCGCTAGATCTAAGTGCAAAAACCAATCATATTAAAAAATCACTGAGGAGTTGTATTTGCTAAACGCAGCCAATTAATCTATTAACATGAAAATAACCTGCGAAACATATAACTTCTTTATTCAACTTATCACTTAATACAGATACAATCTTGTAGTTTTAGACTTGTTCTTTTTAACTGGATTTCTATATGGTTCATCTTTTTTTTCTCTAATGTGGAGAGAAAAGGAAGAAAGATGAGAAAAAATTCAAAAAATGACTCATTGTGTTCACGGATAGAATTATTCAGAGTCTTTTCTAATGTATGGAAGAAAAGATCAGAGATTATTAAGGAGAATGAATTGCAATTAGAAATTAAATTAAAGACGCCAATAAAGTTAATCAGAGTTTGGCCCAAGTTCTTCTGAAATATCTTATTTAAAGTAATTATTTCTTTAATTATATCCATCATGTTTGACGCTGAATCATTTTAGAGATACTTCTATATGTATGTCTTCTTTAATAAACCCACTTTAATTTGTCTACTTTATAATGAATGTCAAATGGAATAATGTTCTCATGGTTCATAAGAGTACTGCAATCAACTGCTGAAATTAGCTTCGTTGTTGACGAATATTAGAATTAATGTGTAACTTGAAGAGCTTTAAGTTACTTTTCTTCTTTTTTCTTCTTTCTTTCTTCATCTTTTGCTTTTTTCTCTATAAATCACGAATCGGTTAGACGTAAATCTATTATGTCTTTTCAGAGAACAAACGTAAATCTGATGACAATTTGGAAAATTCCACAGCTAAGACTAAAAGAATGGAAACGAAGTTGCGTTGTACTGACTTGATTGTACTTGGTTTACCATGGAAAACAACCGAACAGAATTTGCGTGAATATTTCGAAACGTTTGGTGAAGTTTTAATGGCACAGGTAAGTTTCCGCGTTTAATTTGCGCTTGGAAACATGAAGGATTGCATTTCGTTACACTAATAATGTATTTAAGTCTCCATTAGATAAATAAGAGAGTCATATTATAACTCTTTAAGTACAATAGAAATATATTTTTAAAACAATGATAATTAACTAACTTGAAATAAATTAATAAATAATAATAATAGTAATGAACAGTAATAAATAAACTTAATTAGATAAATGTTTATAATGCATTATATACTAGTAATGTACTTCTGTATAAGTGCAAATAATAATATGCAGAATATTTTATTCACATAAGTAAAATGTCTGCTATGAAAAATCACTTTCACTGTAGGTAAAAAAAGATGCAAAATCCGGTCAAAGCAAAGGATTTGGCTTTATTCGATTTGGAAGTTATGAGTCGCAATTGAGATGCCTTGCTCAACGTCATATGATAGATGGCAGATGGTGCGATGTCAAGGTTCCTAACAGTAAGGTAAGAACATAACTCATATACTTGCAAATTCTATAATTCTTTCTGCTACTTTTTTATCGCTTTCTTGAATGTATAAGGAAATCTTAAAGGTGTTAAATCGATAATGCACATTTAAGACACTTAAGAGCGAATAAATCATTCCAAAAGCAATAGGAGATATCTAAAGAAAATTTCATATTTTTGCCAGAAATTGTAAAATATTGCAATTCTTTATACACTTTTCTAACATCTTCATTCAGTTATTAATGAAATTCATATATTAATGTTAATAATCAATTATTGATCGTATATTCAATATTCGTTCAATGTTTTAAAATAATTTAAAAATAACAGTATTTTATATATACAAATATTAAATGATACAAGAATTCAAATATTTATTTATTTTATATATGTTGTGTTATTAAATAGACACTTTGTATTGCTTCTGAAATGATATATTCTCTCTCTTTTAAGTACACTTGCCTTCAATCTGTACATATTTTCGAAAAAAAAGTTATAGCAAAATTTATAATTAAGTTACATAATATCACATTTTATAGTTTTAGCAAGATTATCTCTTCTTTATATCTTATAAATTAAATTTGATCTAATTAAATGTATGATTATTATATCGATTTTATTTATTATGTTATTTTATTAATTTTATTATTCTTTTTATTATTAATTGATTTTGCCGTTGCCTATATTATGTAATTGGACATATAAACATGCAAACTGCATTAATTTTATCTTTATTTTATTGATTGATAAATGCTAACTTGTTTTTAAAATTGTTTTTTTCATGTTAAGGCTCCTGAGTAATCAGCATGCGACTTTGCAGTCGGCGGCCTGGCGAAATGTAGCGAAATCGGTACCTACACACACAAGCACGAGCCCATGTACATGTGCTCTTGGCGTATCGAAAACGAGCACATTTACATGGACTCGTGCTTCTGTGTGTGTTGTAGCACTTCGTCACGATAAATGATTGAAGTTATAGGCGTGGAAAAATGACGTTTTGACGATGCTGCAAACTATTTCATTATTATTTGCTTAATTGTGAAAATATGACATATCTCATACTTATGAAAGGTCTAAAAATTGACAGAAACTATAGTTATCCTGGAACTTTATACAGTAAAAGCATATATTTCTTCATTCATTTCAACAGTTGTTCAAACCGTGTGTTTCTTCCTAAAATTAGGTTCATTTTATCTGCCTTTTACTACCATTTACTGACTATTAAAGGAGAAAAGGACACTTTCTGCCTTTTTTACAGGCAGAAACTCCTTTTTTAAAGCAATCTCGTTATTTAGATTTATCCAAATTGTCTTTATTTACAAATGGCTTGCAGCATAAATTTACGTGTCATTCCTCGCTTCTCGTCACGATTCCAATATGGCCGCCGTAACTCAAGAGCCTTAATCTTACAAGAGAACCACACGAAATGTTACATTCTAATATTAATGAAACTTTGTATACATATAGATTATACATGATAGATATACATGAAAAGATAAATTTAGAAAGTGTTTGTTGTGGAAAAATATTTTGAAGGGTGAAATCACTTCTTATAAGTAATGCGGATTTTACCATTTTTTGTTGTTCTTAAAAGCTATTCGACATATCAAAAAATTTTATAAAACTTTTATGATAAAATTGCCTCTGTTTTAGCCATCAATATTTTTAAAAAATAAAAAAATTTTTTTTATTAAAAAAATGATTTATTAAAAATATTATTGACATAAAGAATAGAAGTAATGTTATTGTAAAGCTTTTATATAAAACATTTTTTGATATTTTGAATAGTTTTCGAGATATAATAGAAAAAACTGAAAATCGCTCATTATCACATAAGAGGTGATTTTATCTCTTCAAACCAGTCTTTCGCCGCAACAGACATTTTCTAAATTCATCTTTTTATAATCTATATGTATACAAAGTTTTCATAAAAATCAGAATTTATCATTTCGTGTGATTGCCTTGTTAAAGAGGAAAATTTAAAAAATTAAAATACACTTGAGATAGAATAGAAAGTAATATTCTATTAATCTATATCTGTATCTAACTTTCTAATATACCGAGTGTCTGACACCCATACACTCCTTTTATCTCGGAAACAGTATTTTAGAAAAAATGTTTTAGACAAAAGTATGGTTTCGAAGTATATATAAGATGATGTCATTGGTTTGACTTTGAATAGTCATTTGAAAGTCATGAAAGTGCGATTGATTTTTTCGAATGATACACCCTATTTTTCATTGCACTTGTAGCTTATCTCGAGAGCTTTCCAAAACACTATAATCAATTATTTTTTTATTAAAAACTTTCTGAGTTATAAGACTTGAAAATTTCAACGTTTTGACAAAATACACAAAATATCTTGTAAAACAATAATCTCCAATGGACTTGATCTTGATAAATCTTATCCAAGACAATCTGATCCTGAATAACATTCAAGAGATTTTAACCATCGGTCAGACACATTGCTAATGCCGGCGGTAGTATAATGTTTAAGTCTCATAACTTAAAAAGTTCTTAATAAAAAATATTTGATTATAGTGTTTTGGAAAGCTTTCAAGATAAGCTACAAGAATAAGCAATGAAAAATAGAGTGTATCGTTCGAAAAAATCAATCGTACCTTCATGACTTTCAAACGACTATTCAAAGTCAAACCAATGACATCATCTTATGTATACCTCGAAACCATAAAACTTTTGTCTGGAACGTTTTTTTCTAAAATGCTCTTAAGGTTGCCACAGATATGAAAAACCGAGAAAAGTCAGGGAAATTAAAATTGGTTGTGAAAAACTAGGAAAAGTCAAGGGAAAATATGAAAGAGACTGGAATTTTGAACTTTACTTACAATTCCGTTAACTGCTCCTATTCTAAATAATTTTCATAATTTTTTAAATATTATATCTAACGTTTATAGTCAAATACGTTCAAAACTCGTGTACTTTAAACGATTTTTAAAATATAATTAAAATTTATATTTTATTTAGTTATTTTATTTAATCGCTCTTTTTCGTCGTAACTGCATTCTTTTTTTCCAATACTAATTTTTTATTTTTTATTGGCTTGAATTTGCCCCTAAAATTTTATTATACTATTAAGTTTCTTTTGCGGTTTTAATAATATAAACTAGCTAGTTTTCTTACAATACTTATTCTAAATGTTAAAATTTTTTACATACATATTTTGTCATGTTAAAATTTGTACATATTTTATATTGATCATGAAAATTTCCCATTTTTATCTGGAAAATCTGGAAAAGTCAGGGAATTTTAAAATTTATTTTCTGTGGCAATCCTGGCTCTGTTTCCGTGATAGAAGGTGTACGGGTTGGCTACAGACACCCGATATAAGGCAAATCTTTTCTCATTTCGATTGCTGTAAAAATCTTTATGTATCTAAGATTATATATTCTAAGATATGTACAGATATGAATACACGTGTAATATTTCAAGTAAAAGATGAAATGTCGTGTGAGAGACAATCGGCTAAAATTGATAAGAGCTTACAACTGTGGATATGGATAATACCTTATCTTTCTGTCTATTTCCATTTTATTATATAATGCTTTAAGCGAATATTTTCTCATATTCCTTGAATATGTTATTTTTATGTATATGAGACGTATTTTGCTGTGTGGTATAAATAGGTGAATGTGCGAACGGCTATAAGTGGTGGAATTATACAGAAAGAATGCAAAATGTCTGTATGTACGAATGTATGTTTATACGAGTGTGGTGCGTGAACCGTGGAGAGAGCGACGTTAACGGTGTGCTTGCGTGAACATGTAAATAATATAGTATGTTTGTGTCTCTAAAACGGTATGAGATCTCTTTAAGAGAGTGATTAATCTCCTGTGTCAGAGGCATTGCAATGGAGAGAGAAATGATTCGATAAAAACGTATTCGACTTAACAAACCTTAACGCGTCGTGTGTTATCTTTCTCAAGATTTCTTAAAAGTGGCCGAAGCTTTCGTAAGCCTCGATCATCTCAAAAAAAAAAAAATCCTCACACTACCTATCTCGAAATATCTTTACGCTGATAAAAATTAAAATAATCGCTAAATTGCGTTAACATCCCGAGTACGCGTGAATGAGAATAATTATGAGGAATGTGTCGCGCATTGAGAGAGAGTAATTGAAGGAAAAGATCGATATTTTCACGTTTTTGAGCGCGCGTATCTTCTTCCTGAATATATTTCAAATATTGTAACGGATATGATTTTGTGTGTTGAAGTATGTAAATGCAGGACCTCGCAATCGCGTATGTGTCTCATGTCAATTTCTACCAATATAATTTAATTTTAATCTCAGTTTAATTTATTTTTTCTGATTTTTAGAACTAGAAGATAAAAAGCAAGTTAAACCGAGATTAAAGTTAATCTACGTTGGTAGAAATGGACATCAGCCGTGAACCAATTTCTTAGACCCGAGAATCTCTTCGCGCGAGCTACCGTGATACGGGAACGATGCTTCTGACCAATTTTGCGAGATCCGCGATGCGTCGTTACGATACGAGTAACGCTCTAAAGTCTCTCCAGAACGTGTGAGGTCATGTGGAAAAAATCTTGGCGAGGCGATTCTAGGAAGAATGCATAATCATGAATGAAAAAACTCGCGAATGAATGGTGTAATAGCTCATGACGTGTTACGTTTCGCGGAATAGATTCTGCGCTGCGAAATCGTTTACGTTCGCGTGTTCCACTGGCGGGGTATCAACACGTATTCGAATACTGTAAAATGAAATAATTTTGATTCAAAATCGAGATAACTTTGATCCAAAAATTTTGATAATGCCCAGATAGCATATGTCTAAATCAAAACATAGACCGATAATTATGATTGGTCCTCCATTTCAAGACTATTTTAAGCTAATATATTAATATAATATAATACGTTAATATCTTAAGATGCTTATATGGCTGTCTTGTTTATGATAATATAATAATACAATATAATAAAACTGTACTTATATAATTGGTCTTAATAAATATAACGGTCTAACATTCTACAATGAACTGTTACTTAAACCCAAGTCTTAAATCATAAGAAATTGATCAATTACAGTCGAATGTAAGAAGAATCGATTATTGGCCGATATTCATAGTCCATTTTTATTTTAAGATCGAAGTAATATTTTAAAATGCGTCTTTTTGATTGGTTCATGACATCTTAAGATTGTACTTAAGACAGTCTTAAATATAAGAATCAACTGTGAATGATCAATTTCTAAATGGCTTTCTACAATAAGCCATTAGTTCATATCATACTAGAAGTAAGTCAGAATTATAAGTCATAAATCTTAGGAAACCTATATCTAAAATAAATCGTATTAGATCGTTATGTTACAATATTTTAACTAAAGAAATATAGTTCAGGGTAAATAATATATGATTGTCATAACGTAATCTAAATTTTTAATTGTAAGAAATGGAATTTGATCATCTCCACGCAGTCATTGATTTATTGTTGCCTTATGACACACTGCTGGCTCGCTTACAATTCGCTCTTGACTTCTAATCTATTAACAGCTTATTGTAGAAAGCCTATAAGAATCGACTATGAATATTGCCATATAATCTACTAGCATAAGACATCTTAAAGATGTTTTAATACCTCTTATATGTTGATTAGACATTGCTGTCTAGACATTTTTTTTTATTTGAGTCAAAATTATCCCGACTGGGCCAAATTACCTCATTTTACGGTAAATAATTTGAGATGTGTGCCACGTTGTTACGGAGCGTTGAGCGGAGCGAATGCGATGTATGCTTCAGCATTACGATCAAGTCTGTATGTGATTGTCGAGGGCTGGTGTAATCTGGTTGCAGAATATTGATGGATTAATGATGGCACGTCAGTATGATACGGGTAAGCACGGTAACGAGTGCTACCGACCTATACCGGTGCACACACCGAGTAGTCGCCGAGTGCCGGCGTCGAAGCCGTACGTAGCCAACGTAAACTCGTCATCCGAGGCCACTGCTCCACCCCCGAGCGCGCCACCCCCGAGATACGACTCGGAGTATGATTACAAAACCACTCACTACCCGTCGTATCCCCCGAATTATCCTTACGACGATAACAAGTACAAGTATGAAGGCGGTAGCGGCGGCGGTGGCGGCGGCGGTGGCGGTGGTGGTGGTCAGCAGCAGGCCGCCTACAACTCCTACAACGAGAAGCCAACCTATGCCAGCTACGAGGACCCCGCCGCCTATGATTCTCGTGGCTACATGCCGCCACCGCATGCAAACATCGCTGCGGCGCCCACTAATCCCCCGTATCCCTCCGATGCGGAATATGGATCGCGGTACTACAGCGAGGGACGTGCCGTCTATCCAGCCGACAATTGTCCGGAGCAGTACGACAAGGGCAGGTACAGCAATTACGGGTACGACCAAAGGTGCTACTATGACCAAACTGACGGCCGTTATGCCGTCGCTGCAGTTGACTGCAGGTACGAAGTGCGTTATTCAGATGGGAGACATCCAGACAGCCGGCATCTGCCGGTCGATCCTAGCCGGGAGGCAGATTGTCGATACGTAGACAGTCGTGAAATGGACAGAAGGTACGTCGACGGTAGGGAACCAGTGGATGGCAGGTACGCGATTGATAACCGCGAGGTCGACAGCCGCTATGCCGCCACGTCAGACGGCCGCGATCTAGTCGACGGTAGATACGCTGATCCATCGAGATACCCGGCGAAGGAGAACTATTATGATCGTTATTACAAGCACCGGCCATCGAGGGATCACCACGTTGCGGATACGTCAAGATACTGAAGAGGAAAATTATCGTAATTACAATCAATCATGTTTTAATGGGAATAGTAGACCGTACATGTGTCGACTCGCGACGACGGTGATCTTTTCTCCCAGGATTCAGTGCACATTCCACATATCTACAAGCGCATATTATATCACGCATCATTTACAAGCACTACGAATGTTGATATTGTTGTGTATTGTTCGCAACGTGTTATTTTGGCGGATTTCTTTGATATGGATACAAATTCGTACATAAAATGCGTTGAAAATTTGTGTGAATGAATGTTGGCAAGTATTCAGTATGTGGATGCGCGGTTTATTAAAATCAGAAATATTTACTTTATATAATTTTATATAAATGCACTTTAAATATTGAATGCTTATTAATGTTTAACATTTGACTTATCAAATACTTTTTTATCGCTGCGTTCATGTCGCATACAGAAGGCAGTTAATATTTTTTATATAGAGAGGCAAAAGATGAAATCTCTGATGATTATTTTATTTTGATTTTATTTTCTCGTATTATTTTGAATTTTATTAATTTATATTATTGTTATAAAATATATTAGATTGATCACGAATTATTTTAGAAATACCGAACATAATTAAAAAGATGCGTGGTATAATTTTTGAAAAATTATATAAATTTTAAATACATATATACTATATATTGCACATTGTTGTATTTGGTTCAAGCAATATGTCAAGCACATATGCATTTAATTTCATGATCTAAATTATCTGTATTGTGTATTTTAAAAATCGCAGTTCAAACGTTTATTTAAAACAAGGATATATATGTAATAGCATATTGTGCAGATTATATAAATTTTTTTAGAAAATAATTGTAATATAATTTTTTTTAGAAGACAGTATTGTTATCAATTAACTCATCTCATTATTCTATATATTAAATTAATAAAAATTAATAAAATGTTTTATATTTTATAACAAGATTTCAATAAAATACAAGATCAATATGAAATATGAAATGTTTTTATAATTACAAATAGCTTTTATAGAGACTGATTAAAGAAATGGTGTTATGAATAGAAAAAATAGAATTTATTTCTGAAGTGGTATTATGTAAGAAAAATTATACGGTACGTTTAAAAATATATCTTAAAACATTTAATAAAAAAAAATTGTTACATTATATTTCTCCTTCAAAATTATGAGACTTATTGAAAATATTTCTCGACAACTATATGCACAATAAAGAGATAATTTAGATCTTAAAAGTAAATAATCGATTGAATTAACATAAAAAAAAAGTATTTATATATATTCCCATTAATTCATGGTGTTTGTTAAATATAACAGATATGTTGTCTAATGGTAGAAATAATTAGTCTGAAATATAACTGTTCACATTTTATCAGATACGTACTTATTCAAATCAAGACAGTGTAATGTAGCATGAGATTCTCTACATTGTGAATATAAAGAAACAGACATTGTACAGATTGATGCATGGATTTCAAGTGGTCATAGTGTTTAAGTGTTCATTATATAACCTATGTGGATTTACATATAAATCGAGCCAGCCGGCGTCTTTTCTTGAACCGACAGATATAAATATTTAAGAATTTTCTATATAAAACTTGACGTTTAGTGCAGATTAATTGCAATCGACGGAATGTTAGAGTACTAAGCCGGAAGCGAGAAGTTTCACACTGCGTCTCTACGGAACATTGATTGTGTGTAATATATGCATGTGATACACTCGATGTAAATCATAATGTATCTATGTTACGTATTGCCATTCTCTTGACGAACGCTACACGCCTTGCAGAGCGATTTCTACCGCCGCCGGTATTGTGAGTAATGTGCACTGTACGCAAGTTTTACTTGGATACCCGTGTAAACCTCGTACATATTTGATATAACATTTTTTTAGGAAGGAATGATACAACAAGTTCCCTGCAAGGTTTTCGTCGGTCGCTGCACAGAAGATCTAACCGCGGACGATCTACGAGAATATTTCTCCAAATTTGGCGAAGTCACGGACGTTTTCATCCCGAAACCTTTCCGCGCATTCTCGTTTGTCACTTTTTTAGATCCTGAGGTCGCTCAGTCGCTCTGTGGCGAAGATCATATTATCAAGGGTGTCTCGGTACACGTCTCGAATGCCGCGCCCAAGTCCGAGGGAAACAATAAAAATTTTAATAATCAAGTTAACTCGAACATGAGGGGCGGCAGGGGCGCGCCGGGACCCGTCGATAATAACGTCCAGGGCAATTATCAGGGTAACCGTTATATGGGCCATTCGGGCAACAATATGGGCCCGAATGGCTGGAATAATCCGGGAAATCGCGGTAATCTCGACATGCCGAATCTACAAGCCCTTGGTATCACCGGTCAAAACAATGGTGGTGGTGGTGGAGGCGGTATGTCGAATCCGCTGGCGATGGGTGGTCTGAATCTATCTGCGTTGCCGGTCAATCCGGCATTGGTGGCCGCCGCTCTGAACCAGGCGTCCTGGGGTCTGATCGGTAATCTGCAGAACCAGGGAAACGACCAGGGTTATTCGAACCAGCCGGGCCCACCGGGCCAGCCGCCCTCCGGTAACAACAGTATTGGTAACAGTGGCAATTCTGGCTTTCTCAGCTGGATGAACCAAGGCGGCGGCGATGGTAATACTGGCAATCCCGGCACCGGCGGCCCCGGGCCGAATAACCCGAACGCGTCCCAGGGCGCCTGGCAGAATCACCCGGGTCAGCGCGACCAGAAGTCGAATACCTTTCTCAAGTACGAGTAAATTCAACCGGGGCCGTGGGTCTACTCGTAAAACCAAACGGATCCTCTATCCACGGGTCCCGATGCAACAACCATAACGAACGGTGGTAATTGATGAGATCGATGATTTCTAGCTCGTCGACCTCAGAAAAAGAAAAAGACCTAGAGCCTATAGTACGTTGACGTTTTTTCTAATGTTTTGCACTAATCGCCACTGCGTGTATTATAATATTTCGAGACCTTACCCTGTCTTATTTGTTTGACAAATTAGCACAATTCCGTTCGTTTAGGTTTACGACAATTGTAGACGGATAGCTTCGATCATTCGAATATATGTGCGATTTTTGTGTCACTCTCTGGTGTGAGCGTCCGATGAATAGTAGCATGAATAAAATCAATACGTATGAAGTTGATGTGTGAGCAGCTTAGCTGTACAATGATAAGATTGCACGATCGAATACATTTATTGCTTAGCATAATAATTGGTAATCGTGTAATTTACATGTACAAAGATACCTGATGAGATCTGAGTCCCAAGAAGACTTCAGCTACTTCATTTAGCCTGGATCTATAATAGGTGTTTTAAGTCTTAAACCATAAGAAATGGATGAATCGTAGTCGATTGTTCTCCTCGCATTCAATTTATCAATCTTTTATGATTTTAGGCTTAGAACACCTATGTAGATCCGTACTTATTAAACCCAGTGAAATGTGTACCAAAATAGTTTTGCTAAAAAAAAATAACTGCCACACAGACACATGGAATCTTTCCGCACATTCTCATTTGTCATTTGCTTAGATTCCGAGATCGCCCAATCGCTCTGCAGCGAAGATAATGTGTGTCTCAGTACACTTTTTAAATCGCGACAAAGTCCAAGGAAACAATAACAATTTTTAATAATCAAGTGAACTTGGATAAGGGGCGAAATGATCACATAGGAAATAATTATAACTACATATAATAATATTATAATTACATCTACATCGTTTTTCCATTCTATTTAAGTATACATTTTCTCAACGAGCAATTATTAAATTATTGGAAAATCGGAAATAGCTAAAGTCTTTTTTTGTCACAAATCTCTTTAATAGAGGGGGCTTTAGTAAATACTTACTTAATAGTGTTTGTTGAGATATTCTGGCTTTCTCTATATAATCACATTTTTTAATTTAATTATAATTAAATTTTGTCTCCTTGTCTACGTCAAAAATTTTATTGTAGGAGGAGACTAGATTGATCACCTTAGTTATGAGAACTAAATTAGTTCTCGTAACTAACTAAGGCGATCGATCTAATGGGTGCAATATGGTAATAGATGGTACCCATGAGACCAAAGCCAATTATATAATTTGTTGTAATGAATCGAGAGCCGCGCCGAATTTGTAGACGTTTTTTTACAAAAAAGCGTAATGTAATACAATGTATAACTTGCCATCGCGTTTTCAAGCTGTTTAGAATATTCCATTTTCTTGCGCATTACTTTTTAACGACAGATCTCTTATTTATTTTAGAATCATAATTTTTCCTTGATATATTCGAGAGATCTAGATTTGCGAATTTTGCTGTTACGGGAATAGACAGTTTCATTCGAATCAGGATACTTAAAGCTCCGCAGTCATTTCTGATATTTTTATCTTCCTTATAACATTTCTTAGCAAAATGTTTGGGAAGCAACTTTATTTTGTAATTCTATATAGCATATTCACCAAGATATATTAAACGAGTGAAGTATCATTGCGTTATTTTGAAGAAATCTGTTTCCAAATATTAAATAACAAATAAAATGAATAAATGTAAAATATAATGAACTGAGATAGTAAGAATTATGAAGAAAAAGATATTCTCTACATTTTCATGTAGAGAAATAATTGGAATTAAAATCGAAAATTAGTATTTATCATTTTAGGCATTAAGTGGATCAAAATTTTTTTTGTGTGGTACCTTTGAAATAACATCTTATTCTATTTTGCAGTATTCTTTATCTGCGAAAAAATTTCCAAAATGTTAAGATTTTCAGAAGGAGCGTACAAATTGCGAATGATATGATTGCCTGAGAGAGAATGTATGTATGAGTCAGAATAGCTCGCAACACACCTAGAGAACACTTGATCGTAGCTATCCGTATTGTATATTATTATCGATTTGAACTTATGTTTCAAATATCTAAAATGTAACACATAAATATAGCTTATTATGTGAGAATTTTACATTAGTGTGCAGGTGTGTCAAAATTATTGATCGATTGTGTGTGAAAGAAAATCGTTTGAATCGTTTGATCAGATTTTTCCATTTTAATTGAGTGATTTGAAAAAAAGGGAAGAGAATCTGTTTAGATCTGTCTTATATGTCTGTGTATAATGTGTCATAAGTTTTGAATGAAATATCCTTGATGAAAAGACTTTCGAACTGTTTCCTGATTGAACGATAATGAAAAAGATAGCTTTACTGGTCGAGAGTATTTATTTTTCAAAGAAAGAAAGAAAGAAAAAGAAAGAGTCATAGCACGAGGAAGGATGCAATTCACATCTCACAATTATAGTCAATAACTTTAACATACGAAATAGTGTCGCAGTAAACTTAAAGACCGCATTTGACATCGCGATATCACTGTATACCACGTTAAAAGAATTATTTAGATCAACTATTTCAGAGAGTACACTAATTATCTCTTATGAGTATATTAATTGAAAGAATAAAAAAATATATAATCCTTCTATATAAGAGATGTATGTACTGTTGTGCTTTTTATTTTATCGTACAGTGATTTCTCATCAGTTTCCTTTTTTTGAACGCGAGATACTACTTAATATACAATTCTAATGATAATACTCTCTCACTCTTTCTCTCTCATTAGCGTGAATTCTCGTCGATATGCGTGTCGCGTGTATAGATGAGAAAAATCTCCTCTAACTTTGAGATTGTCAAACTGGATTGCTCGATAAGCACATGTGTGTATGACGGTTGAATGTATTTGTTAATGGTCGTCTAAGAACTACAGGCGTGAGTTTTTATTACTAGCAAAAGTGATAATGTCGTTTGTTTAGAGCACTGAGAACGCGTGTACTTGGCGGAGCGAGATGAAGAAATGAGATGACTGAGTAATATAATACATAAGACGAACGGGGGAATACTGCGGTATTAGATGAGAATGAGCAAAAGTCGTCCAGTATGTATCTGATATATATGTAGATCGAGAGGAGATTGTTTATATACGTAGTGTATGTAAAAAAACTAAATTACACACACACACACACATACATACATACACACAACACACACATTTCAATGAGGAGAGATAGACAATGTGGAGTTGGTTGATTGCGCATTCTGCCACGCTATTAAGTCTATAAATTGTTAAATCGATCTACATAAAAGCTGTGGTTTAAGACAACTTTTAACAGACACTGGAACCGTACCAAGCTTGTCACTGAGGCACGAATGTTCGCGCTTTAATCTCCGTAATGTCTGAAGATATTTTCAGGGAAAACGTAGTTCCTTACAATACGAGAAGTAAAAAAAAAGTAGAATAAAATAAAATAACTGTATAAGAACCATAAGAAGTAAAATAAAATCGTTGATGAATGACTGTACAATGGATAATAGTTGATCAGCTCGAACATTCGTGCGTGAGTCGTCGCGATTATAGATCTACGTGGTCTGACAATTATGTTTGTAGATGCAAACATTTCTTTCTGTTACCGTCTAGACAATGTTGGAAACACATTAGATATGTATTCTTTTATCTTTTTATTATAACATAAGTTTCAGTTTGTCAACGAAACTTAATGAAGCTTGTGAACAATATATTGAATCATTGTTGAGCAATTACTTAGCAAAAACAGAATCAATGTCGTTTTCTTTAAAAAAGTAAGAAAAAAATTGCGTGTAAATGTTGTAAAATAAGACCATATTTAAAAAAATAAAATACATATAATTTAGAAAAAAACTTGAGTATTTTTATCATCTTGTTTATTAGACAAATAAATTTATTATTCATATGTTTGTATTGTGTTTGTATCCGTATATATATTGTATATATTTTCAAGTGAATTTTGTCTATGAATTTAATTGTCAGGCTACGTATTTCAAATCGTTTGAAATAGCAATGCCTACGACACTATTGGCATCTTCTCGTCCCTGAATCAGTGAATTTTTTTTCACGCGGGATGAGAGTGCTCACTGCTCAAAGGATGCCTTGCAAAACGATTTGGAAGTGATCTACGAAATATGTAAATACGGATTGATATAAAGCAATTTTAATATCGCTCACAAAATGTAAACGAATTTTATTGTAGAGTTAGCTGCGCTCTGTAAATCGCTCGATATTGTTGTGTCCTGAGAGAGGGAGAGAGAGGAAATGAGATGAGGCTGCGTGACGAATCCGAGACGTGTGTCGTGAAACGTTGTCGTGTGAGAATGTTGATTTTGATCCGTCGATTTCGCGGCTGTTAAAGGAAATTCGAGCCGCGTCGTGAAAGAGCGCGCGGTGAGGAGACCGTGATTCCGGCATTCTTTTACACTTTTGAAATACTTCGAGATATACAAACGAATGTGAATCGAGATTACCGTGGATTTTTTTACGTGTATGAGAATGATCTCATGATTTTTGCGCGTACCACAATCCTGTCGAGCAAAAGAGAAAAGCGTCCTCCTGTCCACAGCAATATGCTGCGCGAAAATCTTGTGAAATATTAGATGATCGTGGCATTACGTTTCCCAATTCGTGCCGACGGTTTTGCCGTGAAATTGTAAAGCGTTTCCCGAGTTCGCCGAGTTGGTGCGAGAATACTCAATGCTCTTCGTAACGTTCTCCGTTGATTGTAGTGTATGTTAAATTATGCCGAGAATAAAAGACCCAAGCATCGTGGGGTACCATAGATTCCTTTAAATGCGGATCAGCGATGCACAATTACACATATGCTGGCTTGTCCCAGAATTGACGAATATGCTTGCAAAATTTATACTCCTCAGTCGTTACGTGCTAATAATTTTAGATTTACTATAATAAAATCATGATTAGTTTCTATAAGCAAAAATAAAAATAAATTATATTTTGCAGTTTAATGATGCTTTCCAGAAAGAGACGGTGATTATAACAGTCGTTATTTTATCTTTGTTCAACATTGACTGACAACAAGGATACGATGATTTCTGTATTGTGTCATCTTTGTTTCTTGCTGGAAAACATTCTTAAGTTTCAGAGATAAGAATGAATGAAATCGTCAATCGTTAGGTTTCAAGTAGATTTTTCTTTAACAAAATTAAATATTGAAACTGAGATCTTAACTCTTGTTTTTGCCTGGTTGTGAAGAACGATAAGATCGATAGTATTTTTTTTTTGCGCCAATTCTGGGACAGCCAGGGCCTGTATTCTGTACACACCTCCCGACAGTTGTTGGTGTCGTTATATGTCGTTGCCAAAATATTTTACAAGGCACAAAAACGATACATGACGACACCAGCAATTGTCAGTTGGCGTGTATAGAATACAGGTCTAGGATATCCGACTAGTAAAAAATTATTACAAAATTATTACAAAATCAATGTTTTAATTAAAGATGCACCAGATATCTGATAATTTTTCCCGGTGCATCTCTAATTTTAATACAATATATGTCCTCGAACATGAAAAAATATTTAATTTGTCCTGCACAATCTGATATAATTCGTAGCAAAGCTCTCGAGATTTGCGTGTATAAAGTTTCTAATTCTTTTACGACTTTGTTCACTTTATCGACTTTGTTAAGAAGCAGGTCGCGCATTTAATTAAAAGCGATGGATTTAGGGCGATACATTTATAATTGTAAAACTGTAAAATGCGAGTGGGAGAGTTTGAAAGGTAACATGACAGAGCCGCCGGTAGCCGGCCTTCCGGCGATGGCTGAATGAAGACGATGACTGAAGGTAAACGTAAGACTACGGAAACGTCCGCTGATCCTCGAAACAGGTGATTACGATCTGACATTATTTCTCTTTCATGATGCCTCACCATCATCAGCGATCAAATAGAATAATCATCTTCATCAACACTTTGGCTTTCTGCAATTTTCGAAGAATTAATTTTCGTCTACCGATTTTTTTATTTTTATTTTTTTCTAAGTCATTATCATCTGCGCGTTTGCCATATTCGCAATATTTTCTTCCTAAAACAGAAAAGAGATCCCGCTAGTTGCATACATCTTTTGGAACTTGGCCCTTCTTTCGAATGCTTGGCGTGTTCTCTTCTGTAAGAATTTTTATTGAAATGGGATTTCTTGTTAAAAAAGAAGAAAAATAATGTGGTAAATGCCAATTGACTGGTATTTATTAAATTATTTTCTTTGTGAAAGACACGGTATTTGTTTCTGAAATATTCATTTGCTAATAAATAAATTTCGAAGAACGTCAGACGCTGATTTTTCTCAATTTTTGTACAGTTTCTTCAAGGTATGAAGAAATCTGTTATTAATTTTAGCTTAAATTGAATCTTTCAATTAAGAAAAAATGTTTATTTTATATGCAAATACCCGATTTTACACATTTAAAGCATGTTTAAAGTTTTTTTGCAAATGGAATTGTTTTTTTAACTGTTATTAAATATTATTTTAGTGTTTTGTGTCAAGCTTCAAAAAATCGGATGTATTCATTCTTAAAAAATATTGCTTTAACATGTGTAAAATCGGGTATTTGTATAAAATAAAAAGTTTTTTTAAATGAAAGACTCAATTTAAGCTAAAATTAATAACAAATTTCTTCATACCCAAACATAAACAACTGTAAAAAATTTGATCTTTGAGAAGAATTAGCGTTCTCTATTACGTTCCCTGAGATTTACTTGTAAGCTTTCTTGAGAATCTCTATGATATGACAATTTTTTTGTATAATTTAGCTTGATGGTTTTGAAATTCATGATCTTTTTCGTTCTCTAGAAGAATGAAAAACCGATGAGGAATTCCCCGCGTTTGTTAATTTGGTGCTGTTGCTTCGCTAAACAAGTTCTGTCTCTCGTGCAAAGTTACACGTGATTCATTGCTTCTTTTAACGTTTTGAAAACACATTTTGCCATGACACGCGTATACAATCCGCGGCCAGTTAACAATCCTCACAGATATCACCAACGAGGCGGATGAGATTGCAGGCACACTTTTCGCGCGTTCGCTATCTAAGAGTACGTTCCGTTTCACGTATTATGCTTATGATGTACCTATCGTTTTATCATTTATATTCTTTAATATTTGGTGAACGACAAAGATAAAATGATGCATCATGCACATCATGCGTGAAACAACGCACTCTTAGTGCGAGCCACGTGTGAGAGCCATGGAGCTGAGGTACCAACGAGATTTCGGGAAATGTGAGTCTCTGTTCTCTCTATTTGAAAAAAAAAAAGAAAAAACCAATCACACACATACACTATGGCAGTGTTTATCCCATTTTCTCGTCCATCCTGGAGTAGGACCGTCGAGAGGCTTGGAAGCTTCCAGAGAGTTGGAATGTTAGTACTCTTAGTAGTTAGTTTGGTCCCTTCCCTCGAGTACCCGGTGAACACCGGACACTAATCCTGTACGATTCTGTTCAACAGCCTGGGTGAATATGTGGATGGTTGATGTCCGTGAACGTACCTCTTGGATGGAACAAAAAAAACGAACGAGCAAGTGTTGGCAAGTTTTTGAGATGCAAGTGGTGGAAAGACGCGAAAGAGCGAGCGAGCGAGAGAGAAAGAGAGGTGAAAGGATCTGGAGAGTAAAAGGGAGAGAGAGAGAGAGAAAGGAGTATATATTTTTGCAGGCTAATAGAATTTGGTGGGATGATGATGATGATGATGGTGATGATGATGATGATGATGATGATAATGATGATGATGATGATGATGATGATGATGATGATGATGATGATGATGATGATGATGATGATACACTGCGCCGAAAGAAGTTGCTAGACAAGTGTGGAGCGAGTGCTTTTTTGAAAGCGTGGGGAAGTTTTTTTCGTAAGCGTGACTGCGAAGCACAACATAAGTGAAAGTCGGATACCCCCGCTGGACGATTTAATGTCTTAACGCGGTTTTGCTTTCAGATTGCGAGAGCGTACGTCGCGATCTGCGGCGGTGGTTGATCGCGATTTAATCCGTGCTTGCTCTCGCGAAAGAAGAGACAGATAGAACACCTGAGGCAGACGCGGACGTAAACTTACGTTTGGAAAAGTCTACTTAATTTTGGAGAGGTCTACTGGCCTGGAGATGTACATGACAAGCTGCGACAGGACAATGCGTGCATGATTAAAGTAATTATTACTATATTACCGTACAACTTGATTTTGTTCTGAATTAAGTTTTAACTGATTTGATATTTTTAACTCGACTTATATGGGCTGCAAACTTGATTGAAACTGAATACTATTATTCGTTAAAAATATATAAAAATATTGTGCATAATGATTCTATTGTATTTATTATTTAATTTCTATGTAAATTATAGATATATAATCTATGTAATTTTTCAGTATGCGCCTATTATTAAATAGAAATTGTAATAATTCGTAAAAGTTGATTTTTTTTAAATTAACATAAATACATATAAAAATCGTTTACATATAAAAATAAATTTTGTTTATTTTCTTGTTTCAGATTCAATTGTCTATTGAACATCGCATGTGAGGAGTTTCAATATAATTCGGAGTATATGACGAACATTAAAGCGAGAAAGTCTATCTACAAATAAAATTGCACATACATATATATATATATATATGTATATATATATATATATTGTATTAGAAATTCAGTTTTGTGTATGTGTGCATGTGTATACATTTTTTTAAATAATTCATAAAATTTTAATACATGCTTTTTTTTACTTGATCGCATTTCCCTCATACTTCAACGATTCTTAAATTGTCTTGATTTGAAATTTCACATTTAGGCTGCGGTCGATTTGGACATTCTCAGCGCTTTTCAGTATTTCTATTCTTATTTTATATCTAATAAACGATAAAAACAGAATGATGATTACAGGCGCTTAAAGCACGTGAGCGTCCAAATCGATCGCTGCCTTAGACTTATAAAAATCGTTACAGATGTTATTGCGAATTTAGAATTTTAAATAATATCTTATTCGGATTTATATACTTTTCGGATTATATTCTTATTATATGTTTTTAATATTTTGTTTATTTTTTCAGAATTTAGATTTTCTCACAATTTAAGTTCTAAAAAAATGTTAAATATTTTTAAATCTTTAATAAGTGAAATTACTTCGTACATATTGATAATTAATGTCGATAATTATAAATCATACAATTTGTTCAATTGCATATGTTGATAAACTTGTTTGTAATTTTACTTACAATTGAAAAACTTAATCTATTTTTCTGATTATCGACAAAAAATTAGGTTTTCAAAAATTGATAAATTATCAATATATATTATATAAATATTGATTAATATTTTATTAAATATTATTCTATCTATATATACACACACAGTAGTGGACAAAATAAATCATACACCTTTAAAGAAATTGAATTTGTTTGTGTAACTATTTTTTTAACAAGCAAATAGATTATTGGATACAAGAAAATCAAAACATTTGAAAGTATTTAAATAAAGAAAATGTGATATATAACTAAAATTGTACTCAATTCCTTTGTAAAAAATTATTTTTCAATATTGATACATTTTACCCGGGACAAAATAAATCATACACTTTTAGAAATAATAAGTAACAAACAAATAAAATTAATTTTAATGATCCTTAGTACTTGATGTGCCCGCCTTTTGCTTTTAATGCTGCTTCCAGTCGACGAGACATACTTTCTAATTTCTTCAAATACTCAGGTTCAATTTTATTCCAGACCTTCTAGAGTGCTATATAAATAATACGATATCTTGTCAATTACGTTTTGTTTTATTCATGTTTTCATAAATAAGCCCACAAATTTTCAATTGGATTCAAATCTGGTGATTGTGGTGGCCATTCGAGCAATTTTATTTTATTAGAAAAAGGCAGTGGTTTTTTTATGCTTCGGATCGTTATTTTGTTGAAGTTATTTTCTAAATCTAATTTCAAAAGAGATTCTTCTAAATTCTCGCACAATACATCAATGTTCTTCATTAATGTCCTTCTGCCATCATAATACTTTTAATTTGAGCCAAATTACCGACACCAAACCAGGCACTCTCATATCATGATATTACCATCTCCATGTTTTAAAGTCTTTTGAATTTACTTCTTTGAAAGTTTCAGTTTTTCGCCATATCCTAGACCGTTGTTTTTGTCCGAATAATTCAAATTTGCTCTCATCCGACCATAATATTTTTTTTCAAAAATCTAAAGGCATATTCACGTATTTTTTGGCAAATTCGAATCTCTTTTTCTTATTTATTTTATAATGAAAGGATGCTTTGATGCAAACACATTTTTCAGTCCAGATTTCTTAAGTCTGCGTACAGGGCGATTGTTGACATTCAGATTCATTGATTCCACAATATTTCGCGATAATAGCTTCGGATTTTGTTTTACCATTCGAACAATTCTGGTGTCATCACGAGAAGTTATAGTCCGCTTCTTTTCCGGAATAGAACAGAGATAGATTATTTAGTTTATTGACCTATTTCAGGTACAAATTATGAACAAAGCTATAAGATAAGCTAGCAACATCTGTCGTCTTTTAATCATCTTTTCGTCGACTATATTCTTTCGCTAAAAGATATCTTTATAACAATTTAGTCATCTTTTAGACGACTTTATACTTTCTGTGCATATATATGATTACGAAATTAATATAAAATTAGTACTATATTATCAATTTTTTTTTATTAATCACTTAAATTTTAACAATCACGCGAATTTCATATACATTATATAAGATCGCGGTAAAAAATCCATTTTTTTACCACAGTTAATAAATTATAAACGATAATATAGTCCAAATTGGTCGATCTTATGAAAAATGTTAGAAAATTACAATTTTATTTACAATTTTTGGCGTTTTTGGGATATTTCGTGTGTAATTTGATTATTATCGGTACAGAAATTTGTTTTACTGGCAGACGTAAAGTTTTTTAGCGAGCGAGCGAGAAACGAGCAAATTGCAGAGGTGATGCCTTTCGTAGGCAAGTCGTCGAAGATGTCGCTGTGATGTGACGTTTCGGAGCCATTTCTTCGATTTTCTCCTTCGTTCCGAGCTCCGGAGCAGGTGTATCTGTGGTGGTGCGGTGGCCGAACCATCGTGTGTGCGCCAGATCCATCGATTTAACGGGAACACAAAATAAGATGCAACGTCGTCTCTCCGTACGTCACGCGTCCGGCTGTGTCGACAAGCTGATGACACTAAGTGCGATCGCGAGCAGGATCGTCGGACGTTAAGACGTTATGGAAAGATGGTGAGGCAGCTCGATTATCTCGGCCACTGGGAGCATGGGTTCGCAAACGTTGGAGATCCTGAGGCAGGGCTTCTGGGCGAGCCTAACAGGCGGCTGGTTTTACGATCCGCATCTCGACATTTTCTCCAACACGTTCCATCTCTACATCTGGCTGTTCCTGCTCTGCCTGCCGTTCACAATCTATCTGGTAAAAAGAAAAGGGAGGAAAAAAAGCACTTGCAACATTCCTTTTCTTTCCTTTCTATATTTGCGCAGCCGTTTATTTTGAAAGTTGCGTAAAGTCAGCCTATTTTCACAAAACTATCAAAATAGGTATCCAAAGTTGATTTTTTTAACGAAAGTTTATCATATTTCACATTTGGATTCGTGACACTTTTAAAAGAAATGGCTGATTGCTGACTCGTGGTTATTTAAGACACTTATCTAATGTTTACATAAATGTTTTGCTATCTTTATGTACAAGAAACTTTGTTGCTTTTCTTTTTATGATTGACAATTGCAGAAGAGCAAGTCCGTTAAGAAGTTTCATGTTTCAGTATTTCCCTCCTACGTTATACGTTTGGCTGGCATATTGCTCATCATTCGTCGCTGTTTTTGGAACAATAAAGTGTGTAAATCATGCTCTGCACTGTGTATATGATACCACCGAATGTCTAGAAGAACCCAATCAAACTATCAGTCAGCAGAAGTCGGAGGGTGAGAAGAAATGGGCAAGCCATAACAAATCAAGGGAACAGTCACAAGATCAAACCAGCCATGGCATAGAGCTGCAAGTTTTAAATGGTACCTATGCTGCATGATTCATAATACTAATTAACTCAATGACATCATAATTGAGTTTATGTGAATAAGTAGCATTACTATGTATATATAAAAGTAACATTACTATGTTAAGCATATAATTTAAAAAAAAATAATGACACTATTTTATCTTAAAATCATTAAATTTTCTTGAAAATTTGTTTTATTGAAATTTTTACATTCCTAAAAAAATTCTTAAAATATGGATTCCTGAAACGGATTACCATTCACTTTATAACTTTCTTCACTCACGATTTTCAAACTTTCCAATCTCTTATAAAATTTAGGACATAGAATGAAATTAGAATAGTCCATTCTTATCTTAAGACTTTAAGTAATGTCTTCAGACAATAATATAGCTTTGTATATTATAATCTTAAATTGTCAAAACTAATTAGAAAACTGTATTAGCATCTTAATTACTTAAGATGGTCTTAAAATAAGAACTAACTATAAATACTAGTGTATGATTGGTTTATGATATAAGACTGTACTTAAGACAGTCTTAAATGCAATCAACTATGAATATATAATGATGATTTTTATTATGAATCGATTTCTCTTACATCAAATTTACAAAGCCCTATGCATCACACTATGAAATAAAATATGTTAAATAATTTATAAAATTGTGTGAAATATAACTGAAAAGACCTACTTAGAGAGATTTACAAAGAACTTTTTTATCTATACATTAGAACTCTATTTATCCGAATATGTCGAGAAATAAGACAGTTTGATAATTGAATGATTCAGAATGTTTAGATAATAGAGTAACTGAAATCAAACTCCTGATTCTTATTAATTCGGATAATAAGAACTTGGTTATAAGTTCGTTTCGTATTTTTAGAATTGAGCATGAACTTGTTTATATAAACAGAGATTTCTATTATATTTTCTAGCTCTAATGACAAATTTAATATATTTGATAAATAAAATTATTACGAGAGAACAATATTTTACTCCACTTAAAATTTCTCATTTATAATATGTAATTTCGAATCATTAATATTTTTTGTATAAATTTCCATTTTTTCATCATTAACTTACAATATTCATATATCACTTTGCTCGAAAGCAACTTTTCTCATTATATATTTTTCATTTATTTCTAGGTAAAACGGACACACCACCTGTAGAATGTTCATCACGCAACTCATTTATTGAACCAAATATACAGAATTCTGACGCAGATAGTATAACATCTGAATATACTCGGGATAAAGCTAGCTCGACCATAGATTTAAAGGTAGAAATACATAGGAAAAACAGTTCAGAAAGCTCGGAAGAAGCTCAGCAGCTTAGTAAACCAATGATAACCAGCATCAACGTGCACGAAGCTGAATTAGTTTCTGCACAATATCACGAACCACGTTCTAAAAATATTATAAATGGTAATTCTCAATTATATATAATAGTATAAACTATATGTATATACAAAACAATTGAAAAAGAGAAATAATTAGGATTAATGTTTATGTGTAGAATGGAAATTGAAGAGGCAAAAATGTGTGGT